GGTGGAAGGCGCAAGTCCTTATACCCAGGCTCTGGCGAAACGAGTGATACGCAAGATTGACTTGAGAATCTTAATGGTTATGTTTGTAACCTACAACTTCAACTTCATGGACAAGACGATCCTTTCCTCCGCTGCGGTGTTCGGCCTCACCGAGGACAATCACCTCGAAGGTCGTGACTATTCATGGGTCAGCTCAATGTTCTATTTCGGATACCTCTTTTGGGAATACCCAACTACTATTTTGATCCAAAGGTTGCCGATTGGCAAATATCTTTCTATTGTCACCATTTTCTGGGGCGCTGTTGTAGCGTGCACAGCGGCGTGCACCAGTTTTGGGGGATTAGTCACCGTTCGATTTCTGCTCGGTGTTGCGGTATGTTCCCCGTCCTCGGAATGGTATCGAAGGCCTAAGATTAAGTAGGAAGCAACAATTTCACCTGCTTGCGTCTATATCACGAGTATATGGTATACGCGCGACGAGATTCCGGGCCGGACCGGTTTCTGGTTCGCTGGGAATAGCTTCGGTGGCTTCCTTTCTTCGTTACTGGCATATGGTATTGGGCAAATCACTCATCCCCTGCACCCTTGGCAATGGATGTTCATCGTATGTCCCTATATCTACATGCTATGCCTTGTTGTTGATTTGAACTAGATCTTCGGGGTTGCAACAAGTGTGTGGGGTGCAATTATGCTTTTCATTCTTCCCGATAGCATCAACGGAGCTCGTTTTTTAAATGAAGAAGAAAAGCAATATGCCGAGGATAGAGTCGTACTTGGCGGTACTGGTCGTGTTGATCCTACTAATAGCCAGTGGAAACTAGAGCAAGTATGGGAGTGTTTGCTTGATCCAAAGACCTGGCTCTTCGCGACGATAGCAATTCTTACGCAGGTATGTCTATTACAAGGATTTAAGATTTGTCTGACAATCTATAGATTCCCAATGGGGGAACTGGTAGTTTTGGAAATCTGGCACTGAAGAGCTTTGGCTTCACAAGCCTGGAAACGACCCTGGTCACGCTCCCTGCGTCTGTGATCGCATTTAGCACCATCGTAAGTACTGGATGGCTCGCTAGCCGATATCGAAACATAACTACATTCTTGATCATTGCGGTGGTCATACCACCTGTGGTTGGTAGCGCCCTGATCTTCTCTGTCAAAGTTAAAGGTGTTCGCCTGTTCGCCTACTATTGTCTGCAGACTGGACCTGGGGCGATGCCTTTATTTCTTGGGTTGGTTTCTGCGAATTACAAAGGAGTCACGAAGAAGATGACTGTCACTGCCATCGTCTTCGTGACCTACTGTGCTGGTAATATTATTGGTCCTCAGACATTCATTAGCTCTGAGAAAAATCACGGCTATCCGACAGCATTCAAATCCATCCTCTGCTGCTACGGAATTGTTATGGTCTTGTCGATGACTCTACGCTTATATCTCACATTTATAAACAAGAGAAGGGACAGGACCGAAGGTGGTATTGATGGGCAAGATCAGATAGCACCAGGCAAGAGGGAACTGACCGCTTCGGATTATGAAGATGTTACCGACTTTAATACCCCAGGATTTAGATATCGTTTATAGTGGGAGGTGTGCTGTAAGCTTAAAGGAAGACGGTTAATAGACAGTTAGGCCTTATATCATAAAAGATGTGACACAAAGGAATAAAATAGTTCCGACTTAACTTGATCTGACTTGTCTTAGAACAATGTAATGGACAAGCTGACTTACATATCCTAATAGATCTTAATAGCGTACGTCATAGCTTATGCGTCCTCAAGTTTGATTTCTAATCCAAGTTCGATTTATAATTTCATACAGTACAGTCATACCTGGATAATTCGGATGCCCCTATATCGGAAACCTCTATATTCCGGAAGGGAAACTGCGGAACGGCCGATTTTTGGCTGGGTAACTCGGAAACCTCTTTATTTCGGAATCCGAAGCAAGTACAAAGAATTTAAATAGGCTCCGATATATACTTTTAATAAATCTAACTTAGTAATGCACTAAATTTGTAAAACACGTGATACTGTTTTTATGTAAATCTGAATAATTGTGCATAATGCACTTTTTATATATCGGAAACCTCTATATACCGGAAGGTTGCCTTGGAACCGAAGCCTCCGAATTATCTAGGTATGACTGTACAGTAAATGAAATCAAATCAACAAAAAAGGTGGAAGGACTCGACTTTGACCATTTAAAGCCGATAAAGCCGGATAAAACCCGAGAGCGGTGAAAATTGCTGGGGATGAACCCCACAATGTAAGGATGTAGCATTCGGGGTGTGCAACTGACGAAATGAATGATATAGGCCGAAGAGCGTGTTATAGGAAAATCTCCACTACGCCAACAAACATGCACTCCTCCTCTGTTCTCTATGGAAATGCGGATACTCATACCACGATGTACGCGGTAGACTGTGGACAATAAGTGTAATTTTGTGCTGCACGGGTTGTTTGTTTGGATGATAGCCTAATTATCTATTAAGTATTAGGCCCGACACCTTGTTAGGTTTAGCCGCTTTCTTTGAGTCTATGACTCCTAACAAGATCAAAGTATGTAGCTATATCTTATCCTCTTTTACCATAAAATCTAGCAGATATATCTTCATCTTCAACGAGTAGTCATCAATATGGTACATGAATGCTGCAGAACAGGCTTCCAGTGGGTCGGCAAACCCACCGGTCATGAAGGCACCCTTGGGCAAAACAATGCATACATTGCCGGCTCGAACAAATCAGTAGCTGTCCTTCTAGTCCATGATTTGTTCGGATGGAAATTCAATAACTTGCGTCTCTTGGCGGATCACTTCGCTGCAGAAGCTGACTGCACATGCTACGTTCCCGATTTGTAGGCAACCATCCTCGATCCCCCTTCGCACCACGAGACGACGACTAACATATGTACAGTTACGGCGGCGACATAATCCCTGAGGAGACTATCGAAGAGGCCTTCGCGGATCCGGAAAAGCTCAAGCTGATGGATCTCCCTGGATATCTGGAGCGGAACAGCAAAGCCATCCGCAGTCCGGAAATCTTCGCCTGCGCCAAAGCCCTCCGCTCTCAGTACCAGAAGGTCGGCGCCATTGGTTACTGCTGGGGGGGCTGGGGCGTTTTGCAGCTCGGCGCTAGGGGGCAGAATCTCGTGGATTGCATTACGATCGCTCATCCATCGTTGCTTACGAAGGAGGAGATTGATGCGCTTGGGGTGCCGACGCAGATCGTGGCGCCTGAATTTGATCCGGCGTTGACGGAGGAGCTAAAGTCACATGCTAATAGGGTGATACCGACGTTAGGGATAGAGTATAGGTATGATTTCTATCCTGGGTTGGCGCATGGGTTTGCGGTAAAAGGAGATCAGAAGGATGAGAAGCAGAAGAGTGGCTTAGAGAGGGCTAAGAATGCTGCTGTTGGTTGGTTTAATGAATTTTTGCATTGATTGAACAGTTTAAGGAGTATTTCGAATTTGTAGTAAGAAGCTTGTCGGTCCGATAGATCAGGATGGGAGTATGGTCTTTACAAGCTTAGAATGATTTCCCACCTTCTTTGAAACCTTTATTGGGCTTGCGCCAAGAGACAATTCATCTTAATTTGCGATACTTGAAGCACTACTACAGCGACGTTGTGGAAAGTCCGCCCCATTCTACCTCTCCTATGTACATGTCGCCACTGGCCCGCCTGGTGCAGTAAACGTAGCCACATTGAATCCATAATAGAAGTTAGGAATGTAGATGTTGGTATCGGTATTCTTATATGCACCAGGAAGAGTGACACTAGGACTGCATTTCCCACCCGGGCCCGTGATTCTCAGCTGTGCGCAGCCAATATAGAACTGTGTCCCGTCTAGTGTCTGTGAGGAATGCAGAGCTTCCATCTCGCTCCTCAGCTACCATCTTATTAGCGCATGCAGCTTCAAGTTCAAGCAGAGCGGATTTGGACGTACAAGATAATCACCACTAGCTAACTTCGCCGGTAGCTTGAACTCGTAGGTCATAGATACTTTTTCCATAATCTCATTCGCCCAGCTTCCATTCTTATAGCTCAGCTCATCGATCTTGGTCCAGGTCCCAACGCCTGCCGCCTTCGTAGCATCAGTAATGGGTCCGTATAACCAATGCGTAATGGGTCCTGGGTGAGTGGAGGAATCCCATTGCACTTTAATCTTGTCGCCTGCTTTGGCGGTGCAGACTGCCTCGGTTCTGGGAGTTGTATTTCCATTCACGTTGCATGTTATGTCGTTAGACTGGACGTTGGTCTGCAGGTCTTAGTATTTACAAACGAAAGGAAGTAGAGTGCACACGTACGACTGGGTTGTTGGAGGGAGGCATACGGATGCAGACTTGGTAGCCTGGGGAGACGTCGTTCACCCAGAACTGATGGAAATTCTGGTGGGCTTGAACACTACCCAGCAGGGAGAGTATGAGAGATACTTTGAGTTCATACATGCTGAAAGCTACAGTTGAATATCAAGGAGACGAGAAGAAATGGACCAGATATTCTTCGAAGACCAAGTGAGATTTTGACTAACGCATCTTGAGGTTATGTATATCATTTGACACTTTGAATACAACATTAGCAAAACATTTATATTATTGCAAAGTTTTACCATCAATCGGCAGAAGAGCATATCTTTATGTGAAACGAATTATGGCTTATACATTGAGATGATTGGTGGATTGTAGGGGAATTTTGACTTTAAACAGCCTATGTTGCTCTGATGATCATACACATGACTTAGGTCATTGCCGCGCAAGATGAAATGCTGTAGTATGCTGTTTAAGGCGCTAGGTCAAATTTGATCATTGACACCCAGTCTTTTGTTTCTACAGACACTAAAGTAAAAGTACAACAAGCTTACCCTGTGCAGTATTCTTGTCGCTGCCAAGAGTGGAAGGACCCACGCCTCGGTTCCGAATGGTACTGCAAAAGAAAAAGAGGTTGCATGCAAACAATAGAAAAAGAAGCACTTAATCATACCGCAAAAGTTAAAAAAAAAGCTTTTGCAACCGCCGTGAATCGAACACGAACCTCCACCTAACTTTGTATATGGAAGGGTGGAATCCTAACCATTGGACCACAGAAGCGCGCCGGTAGGTGCTAATTTATGTCGATTTTGCGCCAACCATGTTAAATACCCCCCATCTTCAATGGTGGCCTTCTTGTAATTTGGTCCCGGCGATTTAGATTACGGCTTTCCTGGTTCCGCGATTTGTGTTTAAAAACTTAGATCGCTGCCTGATATTTCCTTTAGAAGTTAAAGTTTTGGTTTGCCTTTTACAACAATCGGTTCTCGCATTCTCAGTCCAAAAAAATGAAAATATTTTTTTTTTTCTAGGGTGTTGTATTGCCGTACTTTCGCTCACCGCCTAGCCGTTTTTTAGATACGCAACTTCGTTTTTCATTTTTGGTTTACGGGGAGCTTCGAATACGGAAATTTGAAACCCCAAAAACTTTGGCAGCTGAAAAAAAAAAAGTCCAACCCCTGGCATGCTGCACTCGCAGCGGCAAGAGTAAGTTTATTTACGGGTGACCCCTCGCCTTGTAGGTGCTTTCTTTTTCCTTTTCAACTCTTTGAGCTTCGCATTCACTTTTCCTCCTTTCGGCTTCAGCATGACCAATCACGTGAGCAAATATGACTGGATCGATAAACATCAGAACGACGAAACGCCGCCTTCATATTTGGACAATATGCGAACTCCATCTAAAACCCAGTATATTGCTCAAGAAAAGCTTTGGGAAGAGTATGTTGCAAACTTAAGTTTTGTAATCTGTAGTGATTGACATTCTGACATAACTGTTTAGATTTCTTATCGATGTGAAGAATTCCAGCCAACTACCTGATATAGATGGATTGAAGAAATTTGCATTCTTCAGTGCGGCTCGTAGCCGTGGCAGATTAGCTGAGCATGCCGACGTAAAAACGCTTTCTAAGAATATGGAAAGATTCTTTTACCAATGGAATCGGAGCAACAATTATCAGATACCAAAACAGGATTTGGCGGACTGTCAAAAGGTCAGAACTTTGCTATTATGTTGTTTTCTATCCAAGCTGATATTGTGTATAGTTTATTACGACAACATTGTCAAAGCATGAGGGTTTACGGCTCCAAGACCTTGAGTTCGACAAAGAGTATTGCGATTGGGAGGATGTCCAAAACATCATATACTATATGATCGCCAAAGATACGCACAAATATAGAAACCCGAGATTTTTAGCGCAGGCCATGGTTACTTTACTTATTATAAGTGATGATGGAGAGCGCATCGGCGCAGTTGCCCGTTCGGACTGCTATCGGAATGAAGAAATTGCTTTGTTATACGAAGTGAGTGCTTTCCCTCTTTTGTAATCAGAAAATTTCCCTCATGCAACCCCAGGATGTGGACCTTGTCATGAAGCCTACAACAAGTCCAGGTCAGCTTGCCAGATTTGAAATGACTATTAGGTTTCACAACCGCAAGAACGAAAGGGATACGAAAAGGTAACAATACCGTCTTATCTGCGTCCTGATATTGATTTGACTGACGTGGTAGGCGCCTGGATATCCGGTTTTTGCAACGACCTGGCTATGCGCATTGCATTATTCTGTGGTTCTTAGCATTGGCACTTCAAGATAATGTTTTCTACGATAAGAGCATAAAGTCACCGGCAGATTTGTTTCACAAGCAAAATCCAGATCCAATAGATCGCCGTATTCGATTCAAGCCTGAAATGTTACAAATTCCAATTTGTCGCAGGATGGGAGGAGCTGGAAAACGCAAACTGTCTCCTATCTTGCCGTGGAATACAGGACCAATTATTACAGAATTTAAGCGGATTGTCGAGGCAGCCGGGTATCCACAGCGTTGGACGTTTTATACTATTCGACGAACGCTCGCCAATGCAATGAATGACAGCCGTAAGTGTTTCGGTTTTTTTTTTAATTTAACATGTAGTTTATTACTAACGGCTCAGGCGATGTTAGCGATGCTTGGAGAAAGACGATTATGGGCCATACCGGAGAAAAGGATCGCGTTTTTCGAGAGAACTACCAAAGTACGCTATTGACAGTCGATACTGGGAATCTGTTTCGAAAAGAAGCTCCTCGTGCGGAAAGAAAAGAAGTGTTGAACATGCGCGCGCACTACAATCCAAACTTACCACGGCTCCCTAAAGAGGAAAAAGAGGAACACGTGAATAAGGATGCAGATGTCCAGTACTTGCTAGAGTCTAAGAAACAGTTACAACTCCAGCTCCTTATGCTGGAAGCGTCAGAGCCGCGTAGCGCAGCCTCTGAGATAAATATAACAACTATACGAGCCGCAATACGAGGGAGGACTGTATGTTTGAGGCGCCGTAGGGACTTAATAAGAGGGCGGCTAGGCCGAAAATTCATGAAGGACATAATGCTGGACCCAGACACGATGTACAAAAAATATCCGCCGGTGGCCAATAATAACATTGTCAGAGAGGGTCTCACTAGAGCTTTGTATCCTAACCAGGGCCACCGAAGTAGCCCGTTGTTCGCCCTGGAAATGATTTTAGATCATATTAATTCAGAAAACTCGGTTTCGGCTGCGAAGAAGAATGAGGAACCTCAACATCTCCACCTTCAAAATGAAGAAGTAGATGACCTCGAGCGAGATCTGGAAGGTCGAGGTCGAGAACAGCGAGCTCAGGATAAGGAAAAAATTGAAAGAGCCCAGAAGAAACTGGAAAAGCAAGCTCGCCGTCATGCAAAAGCTCTTAAGAAGCTGGAGAAAGCTCAGAAAAAAGCTGAAAAGACCACCCTTAACGAGCTCAGGGTTGGGGAAGGTTCAAAAAAGAAGGCCAAAAGGCATCCCAAGAAACCTGCGAAAGACCATCTGACCCGTAACGAAATTCACTATATCCCTCAGAATATCAAGAAGAGGTCCATCCCCAATGGTGAGACGCAACTGGGATCAGACCGACGGAAGCGCTCAAAGGTTTGCGCCTGACGCATATTTGGGCTACAGCGATTGTTCAGGCATTTGGGAAGCCTTCGATCACATTATATCACATGATGTCACCTGATTCCATACCTCGTGATTATATAAGTAGAACATAGCTAAGTTAGCCACTTAGAGAATCAAGCTTGTTTTACGTTCTAAAAATCACAGTTTGATTGCTTGTTTCTGACGTAATACCTTCACGGGATACTTTCACCCAAGCCCCAAACATGCTTGCCCAATTCTCCTCAGTCCGCGGTGCCACAGCCTCAGATCGGGAAGGGCGGTGATCGGCGATCGTCAATCCCGTAGCTTTCTCGAAATCTTTGAAGCTGACCACTACCAATCATAGCATCTCCTCCCTCTGTATCGTGGCCTGAGGCCTCATGGCAGTACTGTCGGCTCGGCTGACAGATCCATCAGCCTGGTTACAAAAGTCAAGCACTACAACAAAATAATCCATGCTAAATTCTAGCTTGTCAAACTTGAGTTAGCAAAATTGATACTTCGTAAATTGAAAAGTGCTGTTCTCAGATTTTGGGAATCATTGTTTGCTAATAATAGGTCGCTGGAGTCATCCCTGCTTTCGCAATGGTCAGCTCCAATCAAATCGTAAACGTTGTGCAAAATGCGTTGTGGCTATCTAAAAATAGAATGTTGGTATCTCGAAGACCCAAAACAGTACATCTCAAATCGTAAATTCCAGATCCGGATTTTTGGATTGATGTCTTCATATTTGAGAACAAGTAGTTATAAAGTGCGTTTCTGGAAAGCTGTTCTGGAACAGTGACCTGATGCATTGAACCAATCATAAGCGAGAACACCACTCCTTCCCCATTACTGTAGTATTACCGAGGTCTATTGTTGCGCTAGTTTGCCCGCCGTTCCCTTGGCTGTGCATTTCGGTTTCCTAGGAAATTGAAATGCTTCACACACTCTGAGCTGGCACTACCTCTCTAGTGGCGCCTGCTGTGCATACTCTTCTCACGGCCAGAGTCGAGGAAAATAACTTGTACTGGTAGGTTGGAATCCTGCGGCTGCCAACCCATCATGCTCGAGATAACAGAGTGGCCAGTAGAATGGTGGATATGCGAGTTGCAACAGCACCTCGAAAGCGATTGCGACTCGGCATCGAATTATCCTTAGGGCTCGATAGTTCACGCGGGGCTCCGGTCATAGTGGCAGATGGGATTGTGCTGGGAGCGATTACTGGCGGTGATTAGCATTGGAGGAAGGTGAAGCATTCTTGCAAGCCGGCAGCAACTCAAAGGTTTTCCTACCTCAACACAGCCTTAATTGGACCACCCAGATCTCAGATGCGGTAACATTATACACAGTACTACACAACAACCACACAATTCTGTGTGGACTTGGGAGAGCATCACCACTTCCTGTAACTGCAGTCCTACCTAGCCGATTCTTCAACCCTCATTAAAACGACATCATCAATTTACATAGCATACAGAAGGCACTTGAGCCACACCAGGTATACACAATCACACAATTTTGGGGAGTCAGGGTCCTGCGGGGTGGATTTACCAGAGTATAAGGTTGTTGGAAGGTTTTCCCTAGTGGCCGCACACACAGGTGAACAGCAGGTCGCCGAGTCAGAACGATATACCAAACGTCACAAACAGAGCACTTACGTTCAACGGATACGTATGTATATATGCGTAGATAGAAACCAGACCACGCGCAGGAGGCAGATCATTGGCCATGCTGAGGTATGGTAAAGTACGGTAACCTTGGACGTGTCCAGCCTACTTTAGTGATTTGACCAACCTGCATTCTCCAGTATATCCGCCGTATTGGAGGCTGGAACCGTGCATGAAATAATCAATCAACATTCTGAGCCTATGCTCAACAGCCGCTTTCCTCTTCTATTTCCATCCCCAAACTGGAGGAACTCCCGTAGTTATGGTGCATCACCAACCGTTGCATCGTCTGTGAGATTGGAGGCTCTTATGACTATACCGTCCCCCCCCCCCCCCCAAAAAAAACCTGCAGGAAGGGAAAATTGGAACCCTGACAAATGTTTCACTGGCTGCTATGACTGCTGAGGTGGACAACAAAGTATATGTAAACTAAATAACCGTTTTTTGTACGTCCAAATTCTCCGCTGATTTCAGAACCTTTT